CAGTGGTTGACTTCCCTAGCTGCTTATTTTGATGATTCCGGGAAATTATATGTTCATTCAACGAGGAAACTCCCTAATTACTGCTACCCTCCAGACATTACCTATTGATACGATGGTTCATGAGGAAATCTGGAAGACTGGATCACTACGTGAGCTGTTACAAAATGCTCTGCAGGGTTATTAAGTGGTAACATAATTAGAAAAAAAACCATTCAGAAGGTTCACGTGTCATACGGAACATCAAACTAAACTGAAGGCACCACGGAGTTTCGGCAGTTCAAGGAAGTTCGGTCCGTGTCCTCACTATGTTGCTGTATTAAAGCGCTTTGTCTTAGCTCGAGTGAGTCGTTGTGCTAAGAAGTTCCAACTCTGTGAGTGAGCAAACGTATTTGTATGAAGGCGGGCGTAGGAAGTAATTGAACAACATATTTGTCATTGAAGATCTATTACATTCCGAGTCGTGCTAGCAAATTGGTGGTCGTAAAGCTAATGAGTCAATTCAAAGCTGAAAACAGGGACATAAATTTTAAAGCTTTACAGACTACTATGGAACGCTCTGCCCATCATCTGATTTACAGAAGCACTTTGCCGAAGGCTAATGGAAATGTATAGCTTAAGGTGAATCAGTGACGGATATGAATGATCGAAGGTTTGAGAGATATCACACCTCATGAGTAGAGCTATGATTGGGAATAATAACATATGAATAGCTTATGCTTGCTGCAGAAAGTTACAACTCGCGGTGAAAGTCGCTCTTTGCCATCAGAGAAAGTCTTCAGCAGATTCTCCGTAACCATCGAAAGCGACTTGACGAAAGTTTCGACGACTCAAACCTCACTCTCAGAGCAGTTTTCTAAAAAGCGTTCTCGAAAGTGCTAGACTCGAGAGCATTTGAAAGAATTACGCAGCAAATTCTTGAAGAGCTCGGCCTCTTATTCCTATACGAATTGGCTCTCTCGCCATTTTCACGATTCGCAGTGAGAGCCATTCAACTACTCAAAGATGTGGAGGACTAGATTTTTTCAAAAGCAAGAAAGATCCGAAAAAACAACTATCCAAGTTTTTGCAAGATTATAAGCGTATTTCTAGGAAAAGAACCTTCAGAATCTGGTAGAGAATCACGCAGCACTTGAACACTACTTATTAGAATCATGACTTGAATTCTACTAGCGATTTCAGTTCTTAGAATCTCGACTGCGGAAAGCTTTGGTTTCCCTCTCGTCAATTAACCTCCTCGAAGAAGTCCTTATTTCAGGAAATGGTAGGACTTTTCTGGCAGCACCTCTTCAGGCAGACTGGGTGCATATGAAAGGTTTTCTCACTTTCCAGTGCCATTTCGATGAGAGTTGCTTCATTCACTAGGAGACGTCAAAAAGTCCCATAATGCTCGTAATAGCCAGGCTTTCTCTGCTCTTAAAACTATAATCACTCATCGAATAAAGACCATGTTTCAGAGCACGCTCCCATGCGCACACGTACAATTAAATCTACGAGGTGGACTTCATTTTCGAAGCTATCAACGGCATTCCTTCTTAAGTTATATCTAAGTCAAGCGGGTGTATATGCCTAGTGGATGACGTCTTTCAAAAACCGAAGAAAATAAAACGGTTTATCAACCTCTGACCTACCTTGTTGTCGCAGGTAATCTACGCAACCGTGCAGTGTAATACCAACCAAACGGTCAAATATAATACGGGTAAGAACTCGAATTAAAATCGCGTAAAATGCGTATTCGTATTTTTTGTTTTTTTCTATGATTCTGTGCAGAATTCCGATAAACATGCATGTATCTTCGAATACATTATCATTACAAACAATAATTTATTTATACAGGGTGGAGCCTAGTAATCTGAATGAACTTCAAGGATCAGCTCAATTATTCGTCGAACATTCATATTCGGAAGAAGATTTCGTCTAAATCTAAAAAGTAGCAATGGTAACGATAGACAATTCCAGACTGCAACTGGTGGTGTGCAGCAGCTTGCTGGCCGATTAGATTGATTCATAGTAAATACTTTCTTCGCTATGGGGCTGTGAACATTAGGGGGTGGACTAAAAAAATAAAGGGTAAAATCTGAATCTTCGACGGTAAATAATCCTGTTTCGTTGATGCGCTCCACTTTCGATATTCATTCAGAATCCCAGTGACACTGTGAATGCGTATATTCATACTATAAACAATGACTTGCGGTAGTAATTCGATGTGCAGATTAGTGTTTTTATCCTCGAAGATGAGTTTAGTGCCAATCGACGTAGCCAGTAGGGGACGAGGGCCTGGGCGAATATCGTTCCTGTGTTCGATTCCAGAAGCATGTATGTGATTGCGTGCTCAACCGCAACACCTTCAACTCTTTGAAACAATCTCTTCTGAATGATAAATAGATCGTCTTCTTAAAGAAAACTGATTTGTTCAAATTTTTAATCACATTGCTGACCGACCTCCCAAGACGATGACTACGGCACACGATTCGTAAGGGCTACGCCACCTCAACGGATCCGCCATCGTTCACAACTATCATTGCTATAATTACTCTACAAAACTCTACAGCACAGTGTTTCAGAGCCTTGATGAGTGAGAACTACGTAAAACTCCATACATTCAAGACTCTTCTAGAATCAAGGGGCTGATCGTATTCTTAAACTTCTTTACAAGTGCAAATGAAACCGCTTATAAACGATGTGTGTGGTCTCTGGACGCACTCTATCTGCGGTTCATATCCTCATATGAAGTTTATCTCAGCTTTTCGTAGATTGATAATGAATTATTCCCACTGTTCTTTCAACAAGATATTGGAAAGGATTAACTGATGGACTCAGTTTAAATGAGTATTCGTCAACGTGGGCCTCCTCGAAGAAGTCTTTATTTCACAAAATGGCACTGACAGCAGCTCACTAAAAATATAACTATTGTCCGAATTTTCAAAGAAGTATCGGTCCAGAAGCAAGAATCGAGACTTTTCTGGCAGCACCTCTCCAGGCAGGCTGGGTGCATATGGAAGGTTTTCTCACTTCTGAGTGCCATTTCGATGAGTCATCTCGACTAATATTCCACATTTCAATATCGTGTCGTATGCCATTCGAATGGTAGTCGTGTTTTCTACAAAATGGTGGATCATTCCCATGTACCTTAAGCATTTTGAAGAATGAGGGCGGTATATCCTGATAAAAATGGATTTTTTGTATCGCCGGGGTTAATGGTGGTTCCGACATCTCTAGCGCCGAAAACTCAGATACCAAACGAGCTCTTCCTAGAGCACACTTCGCCTTTTGAAATTTCGTCACAATGCTTCTGACTTATGGGCGAATTTTTGGAACGCGGTTGGAACCTGTACCTGACATGTACTGTGCTACCTGGTCCTCACCCTACCGTGAACCCGCTTGCTATAATTTCGTAATGGCCTTGCAGCCAACTTAACTTACCAGCACTGTAAGAGGTGATATGTAGTAGGTGGTATCGGCAGTGAGCCGTGAATTTTCAAGTCTTTCGACATTGGTTCCTTTAGTGCACAAGAAGGTTTCTTGAATGAAGAAAAATAAATGAAAAATAGCTACAATCTATCTTTGGGTAGAAGATGAAAAAGTAACAGCTCTCATCTCAAATGTAATGGCGCGAGAGGTGACATAATATTGCAGAAGACTAATCCATCATAGACAAATGTGATTTTCTCAAAGAGGAGTGTAGAGAAAAGTAGAAAACGAAACACTGTCGGATGTGTTGTTAGGAACTACGATTGGCAAATAGAAACCTTTTGATGCAATCGTGTGCGATCATTCGCGGTCGACCTCACTGTAGTAGTTCTGGTCACGGTTGGTCGCTTATCAGGTCCATCGGTTAATTGATCACCAACTTAACGTGAACTGCCATCACAATGGTTTCTGTTTCAAACGTTTTTTTCATACCTACGTTACCATTTACATAACCAGGCCATTTATATAACTTCTTCCGAATTGTTTACTGTTTATTTCGTTCACCTAAACTCTTGCTGCCACGAATATACCCATTCTGTACGATTTGTTTTCGCATACGCCAACACCTGTGTGAAGGTCGTCTCTACGTTTTACTTCTTCCCGTTTATTGGAAGTCGTCAAGGATTTCCTTAAACATCTTAATGATCGCTTTTTCCTGTCGCTTTCTTCATGTATGCTTGATGTGATACTTAGCCTATTTGCCTCTCATTGTTATTGCGTCTTGAACTGATCCGATTGTTCATGCTTACATGTTTCGGCAATCCCCTTCAGCTGAAAGAAAACAGCGTAGGGTTGAGATACTAACTACCAACTGAACAAGTTCGTCTTTCGAAAAATCATCTTGGCATAGTATATCGATGCATAAGGTGTTCTTGGAGCCTCGGTCAAGATGTTATTAGGCGACCCTTTCTGCCCTGCCGCTTTCGACCGAAGCTGTCGACAAAGCTTGGAAGCCACTGATGTTTGAGACTCATCCCCATCAAACCATATTTCACACCTTAGCTTAGTTCAATAGTTTATTAATGTCTAGAATGGCCTTTCAGGAGGGGACCCAAGTCCATATAAATCGGAGAACGAGACGGGTTCGATTATTATGACCATGCATCATCTTTCCCATTCATTTCATTGGATATTTTCGCGTTGATTCGAAATGCTTCTCAAATCATGATCTTCGATTATTTATCCACCTGAAAACAATAGTTACATAACCTTTTGAAAGACTGGCTCCTTTAACTGGCTTCTTTATTCCCCAAATAAGCCAGGTGTTTCCCCCCGACAAGCCTGGTACGGACCAATACAAGCGGAGAAAAAAAACTCAGATGCATGTGCAATTTTTGATTTGGGATTCGATACGCTAAAGCAACGGCGCTGTGCTCTACAGTGTGGCAGTAAATTTTACCTACAAGTTGAGGTAATATCCCGGAAATATCTATGCAATGCTTCTCAAACTGAAATTCTGACTTGGCGACGTTATTTCGCTTTTTTCTTGACAACATTAAACCCAGTAAAAAAGGGGGGTCATTCGTTGAGGTATGACATACAACTACGAATTTCTCAAAGTGGAAACTGTGAGCGAATATGTGATCAGTGTCAAGTTGAACCGCCCGAAGCAATTGAATGCTCTCAATCGCAAAATTTGGAGGTAAGATCAGTTTCTATTTCTTTTCTACTTATTCTGCTCAGGAGAACTTAAAAATTTCCTATAGAAAAAAAACATGAGAAGATTATGGTAGAGGAATGCAAGGTAAAATAGCCAATGTGAAATTCTGACTATGCGCATCTCAGTAGAATATAATTTTGTTAGTACGGAATTCGTTCTCACAATTTCGGCGATCATAGTTACCTATTCCTATTCTATTTAGCTTCTGACTATATCGTTGTTCCTTCAGAATCATCTGAATTACAACCACCAAACTGTAAGATTAAAAATACTTTAAATGGGCAGCCATCAGCTATTTACATCACTTATCCTCGACGTTTCCTCAACTGCGTTACATATACGTGTACAGATCTTGAACAATTTCACAATACAACCAATTCTAAAGGATAATATCAAGGAAAAACCTTTTTCAAGGAGTGATTCCGTTCTGGGACGCCATACAGCCGAACATTTTGTGTAGTTTAGCCCTCATGGCTGATGCTCATTTTCGTTGAAAAAGGTCTCAAGCTTTTTCTGTTCACAGCACTTCGGTGTGCGATTGGCCTCAACAACAATTTAGTTGCAGGTAGCACAAAAGAGTTGAGGGAGGGGTATGGCCGGCAGACCAATTAGTTAGTATCAGATGAAGTGTTATTACTCATCTACCTTTTTACTTTTATGTCTGTTTTTATTTGATATGATGGAAGTTTAGAATAATATACTGATTGTTATTGCTTGTCAATGCCTTGTGTGTTAGCATCCGTAGATGAGAGGAGCATCACTCTAAGCGCAATCAGAATATGCAAGTAGCTTTCGTTATAAAAAAGTCGTCATCAAGTCAGGAAATGGAATCATTCAAGATTACAACACTTGTTGAAAAACAGCATCAATGCCCCCGAGAAATAAAAATCCACATAACTACTATTTTACAAATGATAATGGAATATTATCATTTCCAGTGAAGTTGAAGACGTCTTCAGAAAATTGGACACCGATGAAAACTGTCGTGTGGTGATCCTCAGCGGTGAAGGCAATGCTTTCTCTTCAGGACTTGATATAAAAGGTAACCTACAGCATTCAATTCTGAATAGTTGCATCCATAGTTTCATTTTTACTATTTGTTATTTTCATTATTTGGCCCATATTTTTTGAGTCTGTCTTAAGCACTGTTTTGAAACTAAAGGTTTCACAAACGGAAAACAGTAGTAGTTGGTTGATCTACAACTGATGTTTGTGATTCTATGCAAAGGCTCATACTTCATATCTTGGATTTCGATAAACGGCATCCGTTCATCTGTGAACACGAAGTGTAGTCAAACATTGGTAAGACGTTTGGGAAGAGACGAATTTTGCAGCATATTACCTTACATTGCTGTAGTGCCCAGGTATTAAATCGAGGAAGAATAACTTCCGCTGCTGCACCCTTCAAAAATTCTCGAACGTCCCATTCCCAGTGGGTGCAGTGGAGAGGTTTGAATCATGTCCATCCTATATGTGTGTAGAATCTAGTTCAACTAATTGTTTACGCGCACTGTCTGGCTCTACTTCGCCAATGAGCAGGGGCATACCACTTGTGGCACGCCTGAACCTACGGCCCTTCTGCACTTGCTTGTTGACGTTGGCTAAGGGTAGAGGTTGTATTGCCTCGATAAGATACTAGGAAGTTTGGCTGCCACGGAACTCCGCTAAACGCTTCGAAGCTGCTGCAGATTACCATTTTACCTTTTCGCCGGTTCTTGTTCACGAAGCAGGGTGCAGGTGTACTCCCACCTACGACAGTATTTGCCATCTGAGGTATTTTAAGGAAACTCGATTCATTGGTGGCTATTTCCGAGTACTGGTGGTGAATCTATCATCTGAAGGCAAGATAATTATTGCATTCATTGTTTTGGTTTTAAAGTCAACGTCATCCTCTGATGAGCGCTTTAGTGCCAGCTGAAAAGGTCGCTGGGTTTACAGGAGGAAAGCGCGGTTTTGTACATCAGCTGGCCATCGCAAGCTGTTGTAAAAGCTACGTACCCATTCAAATCCGACATCACTGTTTTGAATGGAAGTCGAATGCAGGGGGAGAGGGGGAGGGAAGCGGGAGGAGGGAGGACGAGAAGCATGTAAGAAAAGGAATTGTTAGCACCAAAGGGCTTTATCCTTCTTTTATCGTACGCGAATGTAATTAAATTATACTCGAATATACTCAAATTCCTGCGATTGACAACCGGTCATTCTCAACATCTGATCCTTCCCCCCCCCNTTTTTCTCGAAAAGAAGTTAACATGGCGCACTGAATGGCTAGTATAGTATCTGAAGGGCGAGCCTGTCACCACCCCAAAGGCGTCAATAGTAAGACCTCCTGATGGAATAATTCATACATCATTGATCTCGCATCGATCGGAAGTAAAGACGCTCCCGATTGACGTAAGATTGATGCAGTATGAACTGTTAATAAATTAAATTATTGTGACTGGAAAATAACGTCACTGAAAACCCATACATGTAATGGTTCAGATGGTGGACTGATGGATCTAGTCACGTTGCAAGAAGGCGAGGACATCGCTCGTAAAGCGAGACAGATCAGAAGAACAATCCTACAAATGCAGCAGGCCTTCACGAATATCGAAAAAGTAGGTTTTCGTGGTCTACGAAAAATATACAAACAAACTTACTCGGCCAGACAAGACTGTTTTCAAGCCAAATAGAATATTGTTTGCCTCAAAAGGGTTTACCCGATCTTCACTATCCCCGACAGTCCATCTTCCCAAGGCTATGCTGAAAAGGCCATTCTTGATCTTTTTGGGTCTTTATTCGGACAGCAGTGTGAGTTATCCAATCGTGCCACCCAGATTATCTACAATCAACAAAGGAAAGAACCAGACAAAGAAGGTTTCGTTGGTTCTATTGAAATTGACGGGATAATGGTACTTAATCTTCTCTCAATAGCAGCGAGCAAACCACTTCCGTTAAGGGAGGAAAGAAAAATATGGCTGTAAATTAGAAAGTTGGAAACCGTGGTTCTTTGACTGGATATGGTGAGTCGACAGCGGGTTCTCCTCTTCCTCTTTCTCCTTCTCTCATGCAATCGTCTTTGAACTCTGTAACATCCAAAACAAAGTGCTTATGTTGCAATTTAAACAGAAGATCCAACCATACAGGTATCACCTAAATCTTTTGAAAATCCGTATGTCGTAGATCTGATCCAGCGAGCACTATTTTTCTCTCTCTGTTCAGCTCTGTTCGAAGTTAATACCGTCCATCAGAACCTCATCACTCGAGAGACGCGAAATAATTCAACCCTTCCAATCAGAACTTTTGCGCCATGTCTCACCCTCAAGCCGGCGACTTCCTGATATTGGTTTGACAGAGCCATTTGGTTGCCGGTTCAATTCGATGGCACCGAAGCTCGAAACTCTGAATTTCTCGGGAAATTGCTACTAACTACAGTGCGATTACCGTTAGTTTCTCTTTGCTCGGCTCATGTCGACTTCTCGACCTGGGTCATTTAGCTGAAGTCTAGGTTCCGTTGAGCTCAAAAGATTCACCATAAGCGGGTTCGTTCCTCGTCAACGACTTCGTCAAGTCAAACTTAGGTCACATACTTCCCGTCCGTTCAATTTTCAATTTCTGTAGTCACGAAGTTCTCTGCAGAGCAGAGGCCACAGTAGCCTACCGACTATCAGAAACTGTAGCCCTACAGTCTATGCTGAGCTCACCAAACGTCCTTATATAGGAGTATAAACGGAAGTATAATTTATCGTTATGTTAATGACCCCGTAGTAATATACCACATAAATAGTCACCTCAAAAGCGACATAGGCGTCTTTGGCTTCTCGTGTACACAAGACTGACAATGCGCTACCTACGCTTGGTGTCTGCTCAGTGCACTCCCCGACATAAACTGAGTGCGCAACAAGAGCATTTTGTAAATACAGACTCACAAATTGAATTCTCAATAGACCTTGGAAAAACTTAACCCCCAAAAGCATTAGCTTTGCAGGAACTGACTAAACTAAATAAAAATTTACCCCACTTCAATAGTGTTCACTTAAATCGGTTGTCAATCTCGTGCTTCAAATATTACCAGACATTCACATTCCCTTCAAGAGAACGATGGTTCGGTGATTCTCTCCAATTCTGATCATGCAATTTGATTCTTGAGCATGGCGTATTCAGAGGCATAGTTCACGGTAAATTTGAGGTACCCTTTTCAAGTCGAAGAGCGGAAGTATTGGTTGGAGGTACTGCACTGGTGGGGGAAGCGAGAAAATTCGCCGGTTTTGTGGAAAATAANATGCAATTTGATTCTTGAGCATGGCGTATTCAGAGGCACAATTCACGATAAATTTGAGGTACCCTTTTTAAGTCGAAGAGCGGAAGTATTGGTTGGAGGTACTGCACTGGTGGGGGAAGCGAGAAAATTCGCCGGTTTTGTGGAAAATAATGCTCCTCAAAAGTGGTAGAATTGAGGTCGTACGAGATTACAATGGCGGAAATGGCTAAAAGACTTATTCTGAAGAGATGGCTGAAAGAGATTCTGGCGAGATTCCAGTTGTTGCAATTACGCAGTGATCAGACTACATCAAGCCAGAACTGTCCTGCCTTTCGTTGTCGTTATGGGTCATGACAAGTTACTTGACTTTCCTACATGGATTCCCTTTTGAATGATTAAGCCTCCAAAGTGCTGTTGAAACTCTTCCGCACATACATGCGAGACAAACTTCGTGCCTTTATAACGCCTTATCAAGACCGTTTCCCGACCTGACAGAGCCACATATGTTATACGAGGGGGCCGCTCTACCCTGACGGGATATCTCACAAGCCCGTTTTGATCATTCACTGCACCGGTGGTGCAAGACACGAATATTTTCAGTGTTGTAAACCTGTGATTGCTGCAGTGCACGGAGTCTGCCTTGGTGGTGGTATCGACATCATCACAGCATGTGACATTCGACACAGCACCCGTGATGCTGAATTTTCAGTGAAGGTGAGTGATTCATGAATCCTGTTATTGAATGATTACTTCTTCTGGTCTGATGCACCACTTCATCTCCAAGGCAGTTCTCGTATGGTAATGAAGGTCTTCACGTGATGCTCGCAATTTCTTCCCCAATGACAAACCCCATCCCTTCAGTCACAATCGGTAATCCTACGCACTTCTTCTTGTTGAATCATCATGAATATCTCGAAGGATAGGCAAATACAAGGAAAAACATTTCTCGCTCTCAGTCATCACGACGTGTTACTAGGGAGCGTCCTGAATGTTAGAGTTCGTATTCGCGACTCATACCATGACGCCTTAGACTCAATCCCTCTATTATACTTTCTATGGACATAAAAACTCACTGATTAATCTAATTTATCTCATTCTCAAGTGCTTTTGTTGGAATATTTCTGACCAAGTTCGAAATCTATCGTCTGTCTCAATGGCAACCCTGCAGGTTCGGAATATACCGAAGCAAGCTACTCAACAAAAATACAGACAGTAGTAGTGAGTTAGAAGCAGACTAAGCTGCGCACAAATATAAAATTAGAGGAGAGTCCATTAAATTGAGTAAAAGAGGGATATTCTCCGCCGTCAGTTACATCGTTACAGTAATCCTGTTTCGTAGTCGAACATTCTACTTTATTACTATTGGTCCCCTTCCGTTTTTCAGCTTANGGCAACCCTGCAGGTTCGGAATATACCGAAGCAAGCTACTCAACAAAAATACAGACAGTAGTAGTGAGCTAGAAGCAGACTAAGCTGCGCACAAATACAAAATTAGAGGAGAGTCCATTAAATTGAGTAAAAGAGGCATATTGTCCGCAATCAGTTACATCGTTACAGTAATCCTGTATCGTAGTCGAACATTCTACTTTATTACTATTGGTCCCCTTCCGTTTTTCAGCTTATCCAGACCTCCTATACTGCTACTTCTTAGATCCTTTCTTCACACATTAGGTCGTTCGGACAACGAATCTCTCTACAGCTCGAGTGGGTTCCTTTTAAAGGGTGTATCGTTATTTCGTTGTCATAGTTGTCATAGTTCAAAAAGCCTTTCGGGCCGCTTATGCCTTTGAGTTGTTGTTCTCTGTTCTCCTCTGAAATCCCCTAACTGAGAGCGTACTATAGGACTAAATCCTCGAGGAAAGCCTCGGATCATTAGCTGCTAGTAGTTGCCTTTACAAGATTGTGCTGCCGCCTAACTTTGGACTTTAGCGCCTATCGTTGGGGTCCAAATTTGAAGATGAGTAGATTAGTAGGATCAGCTGATGCTGTTACACGTTTGGTCAAATGATAAGTGCCAGAGCTGTCGAAGTCGCCATGAATTTCTGGGCAAGAGAAAGCAAAAGTAATGATCACTGGTGATATAACACGTCTTGCTTACACATTGTAGCTATGCTTCTCACTACTCCTATCTTTTCTATCCGAGAGAAAGGCAGCTTACTTCTAAGTTTGTCAATTTTCATAAATTATTGGAAACGTAGATATAGTTCAAAAAGGGGAGGTATTCTTTCATAAATCTTATCTTAAACTTTCTCAAGGAAGTCGACGTTGGGCTGGCGGCTGATGTTGGCAGTCTTAACCGATTACCAAAAATTTGTGGCAACGAAAGTTGGATCAGAGAGGTTAGCTTCCTGTTGTGCAAATGACTCCTTTAATCATTTCAGTACCTAGTTAAAGTAAATAAAATGAAGGAAGAAGAAGCGCATTTCGAGTACAACATAGCAATAGATGAGTACGAGTGAATGTTTTTAGTGCTATGCGCTCTCTACTTTTCACCAATATTTCATACTTCAAACCATCCTGCACATTATGACTCGAAAAACCTAAATCCTACTAAAACTTTGAATGTTCTCGTCGTAGTTTATGCTATCACTACCCTCAAATCACTGATCGTTCATGAAAAGTTCAGGGTTTCGAAGTTTATCCCACCTACATTCCGTGCAGACCAACTGTACACAAAACAACTGTCCGTGATCTCTACCGATTTTCTAAGACAGTATAGAGTCCTTTTCTCCATATAAAACCGGTCGTTTTCAGATCGCCTTCACTGCTCGTCACTTCAGTGCTGAAGAAGCACTAACATTTGGTGAGAAAATTTTATTCTTCTGTACAGTACCTAAATTGGGTCCAGCTTGTGAGCAGGTTCAGATCAACGGAATTGCTCTGCGATTGAGCTGTGCTTTCGTGGCTGGAAAGGGAATTTGGTTCTCATAATCCTGGTCAGAGTGTACAAGTTCTTATATGACTTAAAGGCATGGTTTACGATAAAAATGGTTATTGAGTTCTCCCCCTAAGAATACTCAGTGCCCCACAAGGGTGATAGAAAGACCCTCTCGCGCTCAAAAACTCGACGGCTAGGGCATAGTGGAAGCCCTGTTCTCGGCTCGTACGGCCTTCCCGCCCCTCGATCGATGTCACGTTAGGCGAGTGTCGAGGCGATAAGGACTGCAAATTTTTGCTCCAGGACGTACAATCAGCTGATCGCTGAGTAATGAGTTATGACTTCCTTATATTCTTTTGTTCTCTGTTATTCTTTTTGTTGTTGCCATACCTACTAGATTAATTTACTACCCAAAAGGCTAAAAAGATGGGCTGTTTTTGCTGTAACTAAGAGTTTTTTGTTTACTTATGCTTATGAGTGAATGAATTTTTGCTCACCGTAGTCAGTTATTCGCACCAGGACCCACACGTACGCACTGGTGCACATTGTATAGCTCGTCCAAACGCACCATTATAATTCATTTTCTAGTCAAACTCTCGTCCGGTCCCCTTCTCAACAATTTTTCGAAGTCTTTTTTCACTTCGAAAACACCGATTCACACAGTTTCTTCGCCTTCATTGCACTATTTTCCATCTTATCTTCCATTTTTCCTCATAATCTGGATTGCCCAGAATTATCGTGAACCGTGCCTTCAAGAGGGGTCGTTTCAAGGGTTCTGCGATCAAGGTGCCTTTGCTCTTCATTCGTACCTTAATCTGTATTTGATGTTTCAGTTTGAGTGACAACCTCTTTTAATATTGTTTTCCTACTGATACTCTCCAGTTTTCAAGATTTGGTTAGCCGTGTTCACAACAGTTACCACGATATGATGAGGGAAGTTCTAGCCTTAGCGAAAATTATCGCTCAAAAAAGTCCTGTCGCCGTACAAGGAACAAAGGTTTGTGTTGCCCGAACATTACTTACTCTGCACAGCGCCAATCTCTCATATATTCGTTTTGTCTTTTTTATCTTTACAGATCATTTTGAACTATTCTCGCGATCACACAGTTGAGGAAGGACTGCAGGCAGTGGTCAGTGCAGGTTTTGTTGTTTGCCTAACATTTTTTTATGACTGATAAGGGTCAAGGCTACTCGCAATTGTCAAAGGAAAGCTATCTGTGAGATCACGTGAAGCCACTGGATGGAAACCATTTTTCCAATTCGTGTATCTGAAGCAAGACCAATCCTACAACTAGTAATTCAAAACATAGCTTCAAAACACAAACAATCTTTCTTTAGTGAAGGGTGTTGCCAATCAATCGACTTTAACCGTGAGACAAGAAGCTGGTTTTGTTCATCTTTCCAACGGAAGAGTAAAGAGCTAACTAAATCACATTGCACGAATCTTAAACCTTTTTCATCGAAATTCTGTATCATCAATCTTGGGAGCTAAGGGAGCCCATTTCATCAGAGAGCCATTTAGCCTGGATTTGCTAAAGTATGTTAGCTTCATTAAAGTCACAAACGCGAGCCGCTTTTAAGATGCTACGAAGATATTTTGGAGAGCTTTGCTTTTCAGGCCACATGGAATCAGTCGCAACTGATGACCGAGGATGTAATGAAAAGTGGATTGGCAGCGCTGACGAAATCTTCGCTGCCAGAATTTTCAAAACTTTGAGGCACTTTGTGGTTTGCCTGCTAGTGAATGTGATGAGATTATTCAAGATTTGCTCGATTAATGTCTGCGATCTACCTCTTATAATTGTTTATTAGTTATACCAATGAACAATAGCTAAGTCTGTGATGAACACTGTCCCTAGTTAATTTGACTGCAAGGCGCGACTAATGTTGAATTTCTAGTCATGTTACATTATCTGATCACTTTAAATGAGACCGCTTATGGCTCGCTTGCTTTTCGTTGCTGCTGCTGTTGCTTTTCGTTTCAAAATGTCACTGGTTGGGTTGTGCTTCAAATAAACTCTTTCCTTCTCAGATCATAAAATGTCTTCTGTCGTGACTTTCGCACAACCTCTATGAGCGCATGCAAAGCCAGTCTAACGAAAGCTCTCATTGCACTCGAAACGACACGAGGTAAGATACCTCAAGATTTTGTGAGCTCGTTTAGCGATGAGTCATTATCGCCAGCCGACGAGCATCAGCTTCTTGAGCGTCTCTAAGAAGCCCTTAGGGCGCACTTGTCGAACATGCGTGCAGCCTTACGCATCGCACGAGAGAAACAACAATCGTTTAATCATTCGTAACTTCCTCTGGCAATTCAGAAGTCGATAATGAAGCGCACATGGACTACATGCAACAGTCCATTGAGGATGCAACGGTAGCAGCAGAAACCCTTATTCATACACTTCACGCAAACTTGGGAGAAGTATGTCTTGAAGCACTTCGCTTGGTATACATATACATATACAATATACATAATACAAAATAATGCCCAGGAAGTCAGAGGGAGCACCACGATAGAATTAAATAGAATTAAACCCCTGTTCTAGCGGGAGTTGCGCAGCTATCCTTCCCCCAGTCTTCTCCAAGGGATACTCCACCTTATGGCGCAGCGGATACTAACTCGGCAACCTTCACCACCCAACAAGAGTTACGTTAGCCGACGGTTCAACGCGGGAAACTAACCCCCGAACCTTTCACGGGAGATATCACGCAGTGTCAACGTTTTTGGTGGGCTTCGAAGTTGCGATCCATGAAGACATTACCGTAGGTACAACGTACAAGTTCCTCTACTTACAAAGTCTACTCAGAGGTGAAGCGCAGATTGTACTGCAAGATCTGGATCACGACGAGTACAACTATTTCGAACTGGTGCGGCACTTAGAAAGAGATATGATCGAACGCATAAAACACGCGCAATCCTCCATAGGCAACTGCAGCAGCTGCCCACATTAGCAATTCAGGGACAGATCTACGCAACACATGGTTTCGTGCGTCGGGTATTCTTCGAGGGTTACGCAGATTCGACGATTTCCGCACAATTCTACCAATACTTGACTTGACAGGAGCAAGTTTCCCCCGGACATCCAACAAAAGCCCCATGATTTGGAGTTTCAATCCCGTGGAGACTCTGACTTATACCAAATAACGACCCATTTGGATCATCTTATCGCGTCGATGGAAAGTATGAGGATACTACAACGCTTGAAGATAGCTATTCATTTGATAGCTCCCGTGGTACACAAAGCGCAAGGTCACTGCGAAATGAAGTTGTTGGTTGTGCATTCTGTGGCACACAAGCGCACAAGACCCGCAACTGTTCGGTTAAAATACCACTGGAAGCTCGCGTGAACATCGTAAGAGTCCTTAATCTTTGTTGGAGATGTCTGAGCCAAGGGCATTCTAGTCGCGCACATCGGTATCCAGCGTGCAAACACTGCACAGATCACTATCATGAGCTTCTGTGCAGGAACCGTCAGCGCTATGGAAGTCAGCGACGCAGTCCACGTCGGCACGACATTCATAGGTCGCGCAGATACGACTACGAACGCAACAAACAATTTTATCGCCCGTCATCCAGGGACACGAGCCTCTCTAGAAGCCTTTCACAAGAGCAATATAGATGCAGAAGCTACACCGACTATGAGCATTCGCGTTCACCATCGTGGGATGAACGTCATCGCGACTATAGTCCAAGGTCGTACTCTCGAGCCGAGCGCCAATCTCGATCGCCACGTAATGTTTTTTTCGCACCCACCATACCTTCAATCCTACCATGTGTAGTCCCGTAAGAGATACCAAACCAGGTTGGCGCTCGGGATCACTGCACCCTATCACCTTTCAACATCAGGCGTAAGTTTCAGACGCAGAAATGGAAGAGCTCAGTCATTGTTATCAATTACACCGCGTTAGACGCGCAGCAACTAAAAGCAGCAAAAGCTAACCCAATGCTGGTCAAGGCCAAGGTGTTCAATTACGAGCATTCTAAACTCGGAGAGGGTATTCTACTACTTATTCTACTTCAGGAGCTCACAATAGTAACTTCCATGTTCGGTCTTCTTGAAACCTGGGCATATTGTATAATGTTTCTCACTGTTTTGCCGTACAGGTTTGTTAAGGCAGAAACCGCTTTATTTGTCGACGTGTTGTGTCCCACATTTTAGTAAGCTAGAATACACAGATGGTCAGGCTCAAAAGCGTTTTCGCTGAGAAACCGTGAGAATGTGATGCATCTCCGGCTTCCATTTATATCGGA